AAATTTCAATGTTGACAATAAGCATGCACTTCAAAAAAAGAAAAAACTGCTGAGTGACCCGGATGCAGTGTGCAAATGGCTTTTCATTTTGGGCATTGCCTGCTGCAGCATTTCAAATACCAGACTCCTGGCATCTGCATTACATGAGTTTAGAAAGCCTCGGGACAGTTTTGGAAACCCCTGTCAGGCATTTAAGGGCGCTTTCTTGAATGTGTTTTCCTTAAGATCCAACTTCGTAAAGCCCTGGAGAAGACGTGTGTCGATTTGTTTGTGTGCACAGTCAGACCTGTCTTTTAACACCCAATGCAGCCATAGTTAACACTGAGGACCTCGGTCAGTGTTTTCTGCAGAAGGCTGGCAGGTGAACTTGAAGAAGCTGAGTTTAAGGAGGGGAGCACTGATTTGGAGGCAGCCCCTTGAGGCTGGGCCGCAGAGGGGTCCCTCTAAACAGCTCTTATGTCTGATGTGGAGTGAGACCCCCATGTGTCTGGTGTCTTGCTCCATCGCCTTCTTGTCTGGGGGCTCTGGGAGGCTGGGAGCCGTGGGCTTTATCAGCAATTCTCCCTTTGCTGTAAGCCTCATTGTTCGGTTTAATGTCCTTGATCAAAATCTCTGAATTCGCGAGGCCTGGGGACGAACACAAACTGCCTTGGAAATTAAAACTGGGATCATTTTGTCTGTCTTCCTGACAGTGCAGGCTCCTATCTCCAGCAGGGTGATCCCAAGGGTCCCTTCCAGGTACCAGAAGGAGTCGAAGGGACTAAGAGACCATTTGCATGTGATTTGCATGCATTTACATAAGCCTGCAAGAGCCCTGTTAAGTCTGAGCAGAGGTGATTTTCAAGGGCTGGATTCTTATTGCCTTTCCCTTGAAGATAGTCACCCCTAATGGTGCCCCCCTTTTTTGTAGGTGTGTATAAGGAAGCAGGTCATCGATGGTTGGAAGGAGAGCATAGCCAAAAGGAATGAGTCCATTAGAAAAAAGCTCTTTATTCTTTCAGTTCCTTTAGAGCAAAACTAAGTAAATATTTATGGAGCCAAACACAGTTTTATATGTTGGGAATTCACCTCGGACAGCAGTCAGTCCCACTCGCTTTACCATCAATTTTAATGAGGGAGGATGGTTATAAAAACAATTAAGAACAAGCAAAGAAAGAAAAAAGAAATCTAGGCGGTGTTAACTGCTTTGCAGAAAACAAAGCTGGGAATCGCACTAGTGAACCGCCTTAAGAGTAGGGAAGGGAGAGACATTAGGCAACCTGCCCTGGAGAAGACGTTGTTGTTCAGTTGCCCAGTTGAGTCTGACTCTTTACAACCCATGGACTGCAGCATGCCGGGCTTCCCTGTCCTTCACTGTCTTCCAGAGTTTGCACAAACTCGTCCATTGAGTCGGTGATGCCGTCCAATTATTTCATCCTCTGTCACCCCCTTCTCCTCTTGCCTTCAATTTTTCCCAGCATCAGGGTCTTCTCCAATGAGTTGACTCTTCGCATCAAGTGGCCAAAGTATTGGAGCTTCAGCTTCAGTCCTTCCAATGAATATCCAGCGTTGATTTCCTTTAGGATTGACTGGTTTGATCTCTTTGCAGTCCAAGGGACTTTCTAGAGTTTTCTCCAGCACTACCTTTCGAAGGCATCAGCTCTTCCGTGCTCAGCCTTCTTTGTGGTTCAGTTCTCACATTCGTTCATGACTGCTGGAAAAACCATAGCTTTGACTAGACAGAACTTTTTTGGCAAAGTGATGTCTTTGCTTTTTAATATGCTGTCATAGCTGGTAAACTTTGAGGACTGGGCATATTTGTCCAAGCAGATCAAGCAGTGGGTATAATCAGAATGCTCTAGACTGATCTAGAAGGATCTTTGGTTCTTTTGAAGAGATTTAAAAGTTCAGTATCACCATAGATTGGAGGGAGGGTAGCAGTGGTACCAAATAAATAGACTGGGATTAGATTGTGTGGACTTACAGGCCAAGGTAAAGAATTTGTGTTCTTTGTACAGCAGGAAGCTACTGAATTTGAGTAGCAATATGACATGCCTGATTGACTTCTTAAAAACTGGTTTGGCCACTATAAAAAGAGTAAGATAAGATGGTGAGAGTTAGGAGTTTGTTGCCATGTACTTAAGAAATAGAAATGTCTAGGCTAGCATGGTGGCATTGGTAAGAGAGGGATATAGAGAGAGTAGAAACCCCTTTTCAAAGTCTAACCTATAGGATTTTTTAATGGATGGTACAGGATATGTGAGGATTAAGGGAGCATCAAGGCATTATTGATCAAGAATTTTGTTTTTAGGAATAAAGTGGATGGAGATGCCATTTGCTGAAGGGGGATGTCTTGGTGAGAAATCCACTTCAGAGGGAGGAGGGAAATGAGAAGTTAGGTTTCCATGCCTGAGGTGTGGTTCAGAAATGCCTTTGCTTCTCCTCCAGTGGGAATAGAGTAGCCTCATATAAGAGACAGAACCAGTGATGGGAAGAGGGGAAAACCCTCTTCTGATGTTTCCAGGCTACCTGAGCAGTCTCATTGGATTTGCTGCTCACAGATCCTAGTTGGCTTCTTGTAGAGGAGACCTGATCAGTTATCTCTCTCAATTAATGCTGTGACTGTGAGATGGCATGGATTTCCTGAGGAGGGAGAATGTTGTTTTGTTTCTGTCATGTTTATATTGATTGAAAGTTTTCTGTAGGGAGACTTAGTAAACTGGTAGATCATTGGTAGATAGATAGTGCCAGGAAGCTGCATGCCTAAGAAGACATCAGGTCAGCTTAGATAAGAGCTGATAGGTTGATTCATCAATCAAAAGATAGATAATAGAAATGATACAGATGGATGGATGAATGGATGGACGGACAGATAGACGATAGATGCATTCCATCAGCGTCCAGCATGAATGAGATTGCAGCTCGCCCTCCATCTCCTATTGCTGACGATCCTTCAGTTCTGCCATCTCCCACCTCCTCTCCCTTCTCTTCTTGCCTGTTCCTTTGATGCCAGCCCCTGGATGCCAGCCGTTACACTACTGTCCTTTTCAAGGTACTTTTACAAGGTGTAAGATTAAAAATGTCTTCTTTATTTTTTGTTTTTATGGGTTCTTTGTGTACAAAGTATTATAAACCTATATAGTCAATTGTGTCAGTTGTGTATCTAAGCTGACTTTGTTGGACTTACAAACAAATTGGACTTACGCACATGCTCTCAGAATGGAACTTGTTCATATGTAGGTGACTTACTCTATCTGTCTTCCTCAGCGGCTACAGCCCACGGGGTCACAAAGAGTCGGACATGACTGAGCTACTGAACTGAACTGAACTGCAGAATGTTTCTAAAAGAATTCCGTTTTATGTGAGCTTCCAAAATTTTGCAAACTTAATACAAAGAGATGTGGTGCATTGTCTAGCAGCGATACATGAAAGAAGAACAAGTTATTATAGGGGCTCTAGACAATATGGATATGGGACAGAATCAGTTACCATATCCTTTTCAAAAGTTTCATCTGTAGCTGGTCAGTAGTTTCTGTGCTGTTAATGTGTGTAGGCAGAAAATCAAAGAAGGCCATAAATCCATTAAAAAAAAAAATACGCCAACCCATTTGACTTGTGGTTAACTTGCAATGAAATGAGTTGTTGAATCAAATGTGATAACATTTTTGTGTATTTGTTTTAAGGCTGGAAATTGAATCCAGTTGTGGGTGCAGTGTACAGTCCTGAATTCTATGCAGGTAAAGAATTTCTCTTTGCATGATGTTTTCTTTGTCTTTTCTAAATGTGCTTTGCCTGCCCATAAAGAGTGGGTTTCATCAAATAATCTGAACCAAAAAATTCCTGTCCTCCCAAGTTCTGAATGATTTTTTTAAGGCAAAACCAAAAGTTTTAAAAAAATTGTAAAAAAGATAGAGGGGAATCATGTAAATTACATTGTGCTATAATCATGAGGCCATGGCCCCTTGTGATGTTTCACATAGATTTTGCCTCAAAAAAAGCATTGAGATTTTGTTCAAAAGCCTTTGAACAAATGGATGGCTGTTCATGCAGGTTTTCTTTCAATGTGCCTGAATGTGTTTTTCAGCCATACCTTTCCATTTGGAGTTGCATTTTTTTTTCCCTTGGCAAAGCAGAGAATTGGATTAATTATCCTGATCATGTGGCAGTGAGTTGGAATTGCAAAGAGAATTATTTAGAAAACTAGAAAAGTTAAGTTCTCCTTCTTTCTCCGTTAATCAATGTTCCATAGTGGTTCCCTTTCTCTCTGCTTTGCCTTCAAGGGTCTATATCTTTCTCCTCGTCCCTTCCTTGCCACCCACCAACTACCACTCAAATCCACTGTCCCAGAAAACTTGGTCATCCAATTTAGGGAGAATAACCTGGAAGCAACAGCAGCTGAGACTGGTTTATTATTTTTTTGCTCGGCTTTGCCTGTTAACTTCTACCAGTTATTTTTCCTGCTCATGAGCAAAGCTGCATTGAACATCTGGGATGTTCAACCTAATCAACCTTAGTAGATTTGCCATGTGGAGGTTGAGAAGAAGTCTTGCTTCAATGTGGCCCTTGCTTTTTAATAAGGAGAAATCGATGACCCATTGGTCTGTATCCACTCCTATGTAATCTCTTGATGGTAAGCCACTCACCTTGTTTTGTCTGTTCTGAGATGCTCTGCATCGTTCATTTTCCTGAAAGTCCACACTGACCTTAGTGAATGACAAAGGGGTATAGGAAACTTTGATAGCTGCTCTAGCACAAAAACCAACTTGATTTTAAAAGATGGTAAGTCTGGAAAGGCCTGACTTGATAGCTGAGTTCCAGATTTTAGATAGACAGTGTTCGGAGTTGTTCTTCATGTGTGAATTTTATTACAAGCCTGGGCTACATCAAGAGACTCTAATAGTGAAATAGTTGTGCTGACTCTTAAGGGGGGAGAAACGCCAACCCATTTGACTTGTGGTTAACTTGCAATGAAATGAGTTGTTGAATCAAATGTGATAACATTTTTGTGTATTTGTTTTAAGGCTGGAAATTGAATCCAGTTGTGGGTGCAGTGTACAGTCCTGAATTCTATGCAGGTAAAGAATTTCTCTTTGCATGATGTTTTCTTTGTCTTTTCTAAATGTGCTTTGCCTGCCCATAAAGAGTGGGTTTCATCAAATAATCTGAACCAAAAAATTCCTGTCCTCCCAAGTTCTGAATGATTTTTTTAAGGCAAAACCAAAAGTTTTAAAAAAATTGTAAAAAAGATAGAGGGGAATCATGTAAATTACATTGTGATATAATCATGAGGCCATGGCCCCTTGTGATGTTTCACATAGATTTTGCCTCAAAAAAAGCATTGAGATTTTGTTCAAAAGCCTTTGAACAAATGGATGGCTGTTCATGCAGGTTTTCTTTCAATGTGCCTGAATGTGTTTTTCAGCCATACCTTTCCATTTGGAGTTGCATTTTTTTTTCCCTTGGCAAAGCAGAGAATTGGATTAATTATCCTGATCATGTGGCAGTGAGTTGGAATTGCAAAGAGAATTATTTAGAAAACTAGAAAAGTTAAGTTCTCCTTCTTTCTCCGTTAATCAATGTTCCATAGTGGTTCCCTTTCTCTCTGCTTTGCCTTCAAGGGTCTATATCTTTCTCCTCGTCCCTTCCTTGCCACCCACCAACTACCACTCAAATCCACTGTCCCAGAAAACTTGGTCATCCAATTTAGGGAGAATAACCTGGAAGCAACAGCAGCTGAGACTGGTTTATTATTTTTTTGCTCGGCTTTGCCTGTTAACTTCTACCAGTTATTTTTCCTGCTCATGAGCAAAGCTGCATTGAACATCTGGGATGTTCAACCTAATCAACCTTAGTAGATTTGCCATGTGGAGGTTGAGAAGAAGTCTTGCTTCAATGTGGCCCTTGCTTTTTAATAAGGAGAAATCGATGACCCATTGGTCTGTATCCACTCCTATGTAATCTCTTGATGGTAAGCCACTCACCTTGTTTTGTCTGTTCTGAGATGCTCTGCATCGTTCATTTTCCTGAAAGTCCACACTGACCTTAGTGAATGACAAAGGGGTATAGGAAACTTTGATAGCTGCTCTAGCACAAAAACCAACTTGATTTTAAAAGATGGTAAGTCTGGAAAGGCCTGACTTGATAGCTGAGTTCCAGATTTTAGATAGACAGTGTTCGGAGTTGTTCTTCATGTGTGAATTTTATTACAAGCCTGGGCTACATCAAGAGACTCTAATAGTGAAATAGTTGTGCTGACTCTTAAGGGGGGAGAGGGGGAGGGACCTCGCTTTGAGACTTTCCATGGTTATGTGGTGGGATTCACTTCCCAAGAGGACACATAGCAGAGTAAGGAATGTGGATGTTACTCTCAGGCACCCTGGGATGGGAAACCTGGTTTCTCTGCTTACCAGCTGTGTGACTCTAGGCAAGTTGCTTAACCTCTCTGTGCCTCAGTGTCTTCATCTGTTCCGTGGGAGGTGGTGGTAGTAAGAAACTCACAGGTATTTATAAGAATTACGTGGGTTGATATATGAAGAGTATTGGTGCATAACCAGCACCATATAAATGTTGGGGAAATACAGATAAATAAGTTAATGCCCCACCTCTCTGCCATAGGGGAAAGTTAACTGAGAGCTGATTCTGCTGAATTCTGGGTGACCCACTAGACTAAAAGATTCACTTCTCAATGTGAGAGAAGACTAGTGCTTCAGGGCTTAGGGTATCCAATCCAGGGGCACAGACATTGCTGGGGTTGTCCAAAGCTTCAAAGAAATGAAATCTCCTGAAAGGGCAAGGAGGAAGTTGGAAAGCAGCTTCTGTATATTTGCAGGTGGTGCCCGGTGAGATGGAGCTGCTAGAATAGAAAGGTGGCAGATTTTCTGTGTGTGTGTGTGCCAATGTGCATGTCTTCCCCCCAAAATAATGAGATCAAGAACAGAAAGCTTGACACTGTCCTTTGAGGAGGTAGAGTATGAATGTGTGAGTTGAGTCAGAGAGAAGAAAGTGCATTTTTTCAGCCCCATGCAATATAATTACTGTTCACCTTTGGCTCATGAAACCAGGAAAGCACCAAATACCTCCCTTACAAGTGATTTCAAACCTCTTTGCATATATGTGAGTATCCAAGAGGTTGTCAAAAGAAACCATCCAGAATGACTTACACATACAAGAATAAATGGATCTGCATAACTCTTATTAGAGCATTAAAGCAGCCATTGAAATGAGCCCTGGGCCCAGCCTCAAAAGTCAGATCACTGGACTTTAGGGAAAGAATCAGTTATTAGAAGGATTACTATTGACTGAGTATTTTTTGGTCAGGCACTGTTTTAAGCACTTTACCTAAATTAATGTATTTGAATCCTCACAGCAGTTTTCCAAATGTAGCAACTAAAGTCCAAAGGGTTTGCATCACGGGATTAAGATTTCACAGCTGGTAAGAAGCCGGCTAGAATTGAAGTGAAGAGCCTGTGTTCTTTGCAACCAGCTTATTCCGCTTTGTTTTTTACGAATGTTGGAAGTCATCGTTCTTCCTGAGCATGCCTTCTGATAGTAGATCATGTTACTACTCTGTCCAAATAAGTCAAATTAAAGAGAGAAATGAAACGGTCGTTTTGGATTATTCCACGCACCACGCTTGCTGCTTGCGCTCAGTCGCTCACTTGTGTCCAGCTGTTTGCAGCCCGTGGACTGTGGCCTGCCAGGCTCTTCTGTCCATGGGATTCTCCAGGCAACAATCCTGCAGTGGGTTGCCGTTTCCTCCTCCAGGGGATCCACCATCACATTTAGATGTATTAACTGATTGTGTCAGGGGAAGTTTTCAGGAGCCTGGAAAACTGAATTATTATTTCTATGGGCTGCTCCAGTAAACTTGAATCTTAAAAAAAAGGAGGCAGGGGATGACAGATGAGTAAATGTTACTTGAGAAATCTGAATACTTTTGTTTGGTGTGGCCAGTATCTGGGCCGTCCTTCATAACCAGAGGCTGTCTCTTTTTGCCTGTACGTTTGTCTGTGAAGGTAGACGGTGTCCGTGAGTGCTCAATCGTGCCCGACTCTTTGTGACCCCATGGACTGTAGCCTGCCAGGCTCCTCTGTCCATGGGATTCTCCAGGCAAGGATACTGGAGTGGATTGCCAGAGTTCATGAGATTCAGAAATCTGGGAAGATGTTGCTGCAAACTCAACACTCCAGAACAATTCCTTTGAAATACTTGAAGACCCATAAACCCTGAGAATCCTGCTAGCCTCCATTTGAAATTTCAGGCACCTGTGTGTGAGGAATGCATATATGCAAAACAGAGCCATAGAACGTATTCATTTCCATAACCAGGTATAATGCCTTATGTTAGCCGTTTAAATACCCATGACTAAGAATCTAGGGGGCATTCGAAATTTCCCCAAGTATAAAAATAGTCAGGATTTATCTTGGAATTTTGAATGTGCCCCAGAGCTGAAATGAAGACCATGTCATTGATTTGCTGTGGGTATTTCACAGGTCAGCACTGTATCTCCCTGAGATAGAGAACCAGCCTTATTTTATTAGTCATTTCTATATATAAGATTTTTGCATTAATGACAAAGATCACCATATCCCCATAGTATAATCATTGATTTTCTGAAGCTTATGCAGAATTAACAACCCAGCCTCCAATTGTCTCCCAGAATGGGGCAGGAAAAGTCCACATATTTTGTAAATTAAAATCAATATTTTCAATTTCTCCTTAAGGTAATTTTCCTAATTTAGTGGACTTTTCCCTAACATTTATTTTCTCTTTAATTATAAAATGGCAGGTTATTGATTTTCGTCTATACCGTCTTGATGCCCTGAGTGCATTTTTATTGCTAATGCAGGGTGGGGGTAGGGAGAACAGTTACACCTCTTAATGAGGATCTTTAATTACTAGCTGAACAGTATTAATTTGCTTTGATAAATTATGACACACACTCTCCCTCACACACACGTTCCAGGGGAACCATTTAGAAACCTGTTATGAAAGGTCTTTCACTGGGGGTGGTTTTTCTGAACTCTCATCAAGTAATGCCTGCAAGGACTCTTTTAAATGCTTATCCAGTACCAGTCTCCAGAAGCAGATATACCTAAATCAGCATATTCTATGAACATATATAAATCTCCTCCAAAGACAAGTGGGTGTTTTCCTATAAAACTAAGCAGCAGCAGTGATGATTTTTTTTCTAAGCCTAATGATCTTCAGACTCCTTGAGGCATATTCTCATGACAAATGATTGATAAGTCAATAGGAAAAAAAATGCCCAGGTGAGTTTCAAAGACTTCAGTCAGCTTCTATGGGCATTCTGTTTTAGAGTCAAAATAAAATTGAAGGCACTAAATAGAAGTAGAATATCTGCAAATATCCATTGCCAGTGTGTGCAGGCTAAGTCTTTTCAGTTGTGTCTGACTCTATGAAACCCTAGGGATGTCGCCCCCCGGCTCCTCTGTCCATGGGATTCTCCAGGCAAGAATACTGGAGTGGGTTGCCATGCCCTCCTCCAGGGCATCTACCCGACTCAGGGATCAAACCTGAGTCTCACGAATTGGCAGGTAGGTTCTTTACCATTAGCACCACCTGAGAAGCCCATTGCCAGTAGCATTTCTCAAGTTACTTAGTATAATTAGAAATAGGACTTTTAAGAGGACACCTCAATGGGGATCTTACACTTTCCCTGTCATTGTGACAAGTTCCCTTTGTCATCTAATAAAAAGATTTAAAAAAAAATTATATCCTTAAGGGATAATCAAGATATCAAGCCAACAAAACTGTTGATGGAGAGCACTTTTAATCTTCACACATAAGTGAAACAAAATTAAAATAAATAACAGAAGGCTATACACAGTTGTCGACATGGTGCTGACAAATGGCAAATTCTTCCATTTCTTAGTTGCTGGTAAGATGGCTACAGAGCTCATACACACTGTTAATCATATCTGCCAACTCATTTCAGTGATTAAATATTCCATCAATGGGGCTATAAGGCAGCAGAGCTTAACAAGATTCATAAGATGCACCACTTGAACAAGCATAACTCACTTCTGTGGATGGGGAGCACCCCGCCTGCAAA